AATGTCCCATAATTTTGAAATGCTTATAGTCAGTGGAAGATTTTATAACTGTATGTTAACAAGGAACCAGTTCTGAAATCAGTATAAGGATATTAATAATTCTTACCTGAAAGACTGGAGGGAGCCTCATGGAGGAAGGGGTATTTTATTTGTTTATTTTATAATACTGAGGATTGAACCTAGGGATACCCAAACACTGAGCTACATTGCCAGCCCTCTGAATTTTAGATCTTGAGACAAAATCAAATAAATTGTCCAGGCTGGCTTGGAATTTATGCCCTTCTACCTCAGCCTCCTGAGTAACTGGGATTACAGATATGAGACACAATGCCTAACTCAAAAGAGGTTATTTTAGATGTTTAAGGTTGATTAGGCATTTAATAAGTAGAGAAGGGATATAAGAAGAAGGCCACAAAGGCTTAAGGATGTAGCATGTGCAAATGACATGGGGTAGTAAAACACTGTGTGTTCAAAAATGGCTTGTCAGTCTAGAGTTGAGCGTAGGCATGAGTTTGGATGAGTGGGTTATAACCAGACAACAGAGGACTCTGAATTCTGGACTATGTATCTGTCTTTTCTCCAGAGGCAATAGGGATTCCTGAAGCTTTCAAGCTAACATTCTACTCTTTCTTCCTCTAGTTTAACATATTGTCCTCAAAGTAGCCAAGTGATAATTTTAGAATGGTCAGACTCTCCTCTGGTCTCTCATGTCACTCAGAGTGGACCCCAAGCCCTCACCATAGGCCCCTACTCTCTGAGCATGTGACCTATGCCTCCTAATTTTACTTGGGATAATAGTAGTACAATATTCACACATAGTCAAAAATAGAACCTTATGAAAGATCTGACCATTACAGAGAGGCACATACCAGATGCCTCCTGAAAGTTCATGTTGATAGCTGGGGCCTTCTGGTTTATTTGCACTCACTGCCTTCTGCAGTGAGAGGATGGTGTTATAAAATTCAGTACATGTTCTATCCCCCTATAATCTGCCTATAATTTGTCCTCTTTTTCAAAATGCTTAAGGCAGATAGTCTGATCTGTACATATCAGAATAAGTTAAACTACCCTGCATGACATCTAGTAAACCATAGGCATTCCCTTGAGTATTATCACACTCCTCATTCACTCATTTATTTCACACATCTAGTGTGTGCTCTGTGCAGGCACTTGAGTCAATGAGTAAAAGCAATAGGCCAGAAAGTAGAAAGAAAAGATTCATCAAAATATGGGAGAGGAAAGACAATACTCATCTGAAAAAAAAAGAAGTCATGGTATTATGTCTCCTTATGTTTGTGGTGATAGTAGGGTAAATAGATGTAAATCATATAATCATTTGAAAATAAAAATACTGAGTAACTTCTAAATTATGGACTTTGTGATCAGTAAATAAAAAAAATAGAGATCTTAGCTTTGGAATGTTTTTGGTCTAGTTGGAGTAAAATGTATAAACATGATTTTATGAGTTACTAAATAATATGGAGAACAGAGAAGAATGCTTAATGTAGCATGGGATTTTTATAAATGATTTTTTTTTTCTTTTTGATGTAGGTGATACTTTACCAGAGTCTTGAAGCTAATTTCTAATTATAGCTAATAGTTATTTTCTTTAATTTCTTAACATCAAAAATTCAACTGGGGTTGTGGCTCAGTGGCAGAGCACTCGGTTCGATCCCCAGCACTACATGCATGAGGCACTCAGTTCAATACCTAGCACTACATAAAATAAATACACGTATGGTGTCCATCTACAAAAAATTCAATTGGAATTTAACATGTGAAACAAATCAAAATATCCCTGAGACCCTTAATGTTAATACCGTTAGATCTTATCTCCAAATAGTTTAGTCCAGTAGTCACAGACACATAGAAACTGAATATGATAAATTTTCATCCAGGAGAATGAAATTACACAACAATGGGATACCCCAACAAAGACTGCTGCACACCATTTTTAAAAATGCGATTTGTATGTACTGAAGTGCAAATTCTATTTTTTAAAAAGTCAGGTTTTTTTTTGTTTTGTTTTGTTTTGTTTTGTTTTTTATACTGTTGCCTGAACTACTCCCCTGCCATAGTCTCTTATCCTTCTCAGGATTCCATATTGTCCTTATAGGTGTGTATGTCCTATGTTCTCTATTTGCCTGTTTATTTGTATCCCTACTAGAGTGAACTCTTTTTGAAGGAGAGGATTGGGTTTTATTTATTTTTGTTCATGTGTTATTTAATCCAACTTTCAAAACATAAAAGACATTCAGTATACAGTACAAGAGTGTGAATGATGATATATGACTTATACTGGGCATCTGATGCCACATTTCCTTGACTAATTTTTTGTGGCCTAGTGATTGTTCATAATTTTCCTGCAGTCCATTAGCTATAATAATTGCTGGCTAAAAATGCAGCAGCCAGCTTCTAGTTTACTTTGGTACTAGAATAATATTACATTCGCAAACAACTAAAAAGTGAATCAATGACAAAAACTTTGCTATTTTAATTGTAAGGTCTTCATTAATTTTAAAAGATACTATGGATAATATCTTTGCCCTGTTTAAAGTGATAGTAAACTGAGCAGAAGAAGAGGTAGACACATTTCGAAAAAAGATGTCCATGAAGGTAGATGTCAAAAAGACCATATATGTCTTATAAACCATTGAATTCCCAGCACTCAATATGGTGCTTGGTATTGAGTTCAATAAAAGCTTGCTAAATGAGTCAAGGAAAGTATTTTTATTTGTTTACTAGGTTTTAAGTATGAGACTTGTTTCAGAAGAGATTTGATTGTTTGTGATAGGAATACACATTTTAATTACAAATTAATTTTTATGTCATTGAATCATTCACTTAGAGATTTCTTGAGTATCTTCCATCCACTATATACCAAACTTTCTGTCAGGGAAACACAGATAAATAAGATGGGGCCTCGATCTAGAAATAGATACATATACAAACATTTGCAATTAGTGTAATAATGATATAATAAAGGAATATAGATCATAGTCTAATGACACAAAAAGGGTATTCAGCTCAGTCTGTAAGAGGAAGAGCCAGGACTTAGGAAAGATTGCTCTAACATACATTCCAAAAGATGGATGATTTTTTAGGGTTATTGATATTCTACATGCTTAGGTACTATTGAATTTGTCATTATAACAAAATAATCTACCTCTGGCTTGTATGCTTAGCTTTTAAAATATTTTTTCTTATTTATTAAACCATTTTATTTGTTTATTATTGTTTCTTTATAAGTTTGGTTACACGTAGATTCTTAAAAGATGATTCTGACACAACTGTTAGTAAGAAGGTCATATAAAATAAAATATTCATTTATATTTTTAAAATATTCTTCCAGGTCTTAATTGAGAGAAAATAATGAGTTCCCTGGTTTTAAATTAGACTTATGTCATATATTTGAAAGGTATCTGTTCAGTCATAGATATACTGTCTTCATCAGGTTTTCATTTAAAAACAACCCTCATTTACAATGCATTTAGATACATTAAATAGTTGATTTGGTTCTCTGTAGCTTCAGCACTGGGTTCTAGTCATCTGGAGTCAGCGATTGCATTGTCAAGAAATCTTCCCACTGGCAGGGGCCAATGCATCTTTCCTCCACTTTAATTCCTTAGTGGTATAAACAATACAATTTGTTCTTCTTCTGACATATTAATACTGTCATTTATGAAAGTTCCATTAAAAACTACCTGCTAGTAATTCAAACCCTGAGCAACTTCCTGGATTTGAGTTATGAATTAAGGGGTAGAATAGTATATTTCTTTATTACATTATTCAATTTTGACTAGGAAATAATGCTTGAATTAATGAAAGTTTCTATTAAAAAAGGTAATTAAAATAAGTACATGGATTTTTTTGTTATTACTATTATTACTGTGTTAAACAAAACTCAGTCCTGAGCAATACTGAGCATGCATACAACATTCAATTTCTGGAGAACAGAATCCACATACAGGAGGTAGCCACCCCCTTGTGAAGTGAAATGTAATCTCCTCAGTAGATGCTAACCATATCCCAGACTAGATGAATCTTTAGGGTTTGGGTGAAAATTCAGCATAACTGTTAGCTAAGTACCACATGAACTTCTTTGTGTATAATACTGTGATCTTTCTAATATATGAATATGGTTATATATCCAACCACTCCAAATTCTTCAAATTCTCCTTTAGATTAGAAACTAAAACTCTTTTCATTACAATCAAGGTCATTCTACTTGCCTAGAGCTCCAGTTTCAATTCCCTCCACTTCAGGCTCAAACTTCACGGTCCAGCACGACTAATCTACTTTTAGATCCTAGAAGTATGTCTGATCTCTCCTTTCCTCATGCCTTGGGATGTGTTATTTCCTCTATTCAAATGGCAGCTCTTTTTGGTAAAACTATTAAATCATCCCCCTCTTGCACAGGTAGATTTAAATGCACCATTTTCTAAGTCACTGCAGTTTGCACATGCAATTTCTAATATTCCTAAGATTGTATTATAATTGTTTGCATGCCTTTACCCAAACACATATAAAAACAGTTCTTGGAAGAAAAAATTTCTTTTTTTGTTTTTCTAGTATTTCATACAATATTTGACTGATCAGAAAGATTTACAAATAGATGCATGAATGAATATTATTCACAACTATAAATATTTACAATATATATGAGGAATAAGGATGTTCGTGGTTGTTTATCGAATACTTAGCATGTGCCTAGCCCCGTATAGTGTATTTCTGTGCTTCATCTCCCATTCTCACCACACTTCTGCCAGCTAGATTGTATTATTTTTGTTATTTCTAGTTTGCCCTTGAGAAAACTGAAGCTCAGAGAGGTTAGTCAAATAGGCCACACATTCTCATAGAGCAGAATCAGATGTGAACCTAATTCTGTCTGACCCCAAAGCCAATGCTCTCCCCAGTACACCCAGCTGTCTTTTGATTATTGTCAAGATCCTGAAAGGCACAAATTAGATTTTGATTTAATCTTTTCCATTTCTTTCCAGCTCCAAGTACAGCCCAGTATGGAATTACCGGGAGCGCTGACGTTCTTTTCTCCTGCTGGTACCTTGTGTTGACACTGTCCTCTTTCACCAGCATATTCTACCTGAAGAATGCCATTCTACAATAAATTTAAAGACCCATAAAAGGCTTTTAAGGATTCTCTGAAAGTGCTGATGGCTGGATCCAATCTGGTACAGTTTGTTAAAAGCAGCGTGGGATATAATCAGCAGTGCTTACATGGGGATGATCGCCTTCTGTAGAATTGCTCATTATGTAAATACTTTAATTCTACTCTTTTTTGATTAGCTACATTACCTTGTGAAGCAGTACACATTGTCCTTTTTTTAAGATGTGAAAGCTCTGAAATTACTTTTAGAGGATATTAATTGTGATTTCATGTTTGTAATCTACAACTTTTCAAAAGCATTCAGTCATGGTCTGCTAGGTTGCAGGCTGTAGTTTACAAAAACGAATATTGCAGTGAACATGTGATTCTTTAAGGCTGCAATACAAGTATTCAGTTCCCTGTTTCAATAAGAGTCAATCTACATTTACAAAGACACATTTTTTTCCTTTTTTGATAAAAAAGCAAATAATATTGCCTTCAGATCATTTCTTCAAAATATAACACATATCTAGATTTTTCTGCTCGCATGATATTCAGGTTTCAGGAATGAGCCTTGTAATATAACTGGCTGTGCAGCTCTGCTTCTCTTTCCTGTAAGTTCAGCATGGGTGTGCCTTCATGAAATATTTTTCTCTTTGTCTCCAACTAATATAAAACATTTTGCTAAATCCTACAATTTGTAAGGAAAAAAATAAACCACAATGATAAAGTTAAACTATATCCTATCTCTAAAGAACAAAGGAGCTATTGGATTGTATTCCTTCATTATCAGTGGGGTTTGAGAGTGTTGCCCCACAATAACTCCGTTCTTGGGATGAAAAACAAGTTAATCACATAGAAGAGTAAATGTACCGTACGATTTCTTTCGTTGAAGTTAAATGTTAGATCTACTGTGGGAAATAATTCCCTTTAAAATGACAGCACAGTCCACTCAAGGGATTGCTGAGCAAGACAGTATCTTTTTTTCTTTCACTATTTCAAGCTTAAATTTTTAAGATGGTTTGTCAGAGAGGACACAAAGTCCTATCACCTAATATCACATGAGTTGGTAAGCACTCAAAACTAATTTGGTTTTGTGATAGATAAGTTATTATGACAGAAACAGTGCTCCTGCAGACAGGAGCATTTTGCATATTTTCTATCTAAAAACATCACTCAGTTGATAATCTGGAATGCATGTTACATTGAAAAAGTTCCAAAATATTTTATATCAAATATTCTATATTAGTATACAGAAGATCAATCCCTGAAGTAAATAACTCTTTAATAAAATCTTTCTTTATAACCATTTCAGTTCAAACAAGTGAAGCCAAAAAATTACCATGCTTTATTTCTTCTTACATGATATATGTAAGATGTGATCAAATGAAGACAGACACCAGTGATGAGAATATCTTAAGATGTATTAATTATTCAATTACTGTGAGTATTCATTTTTTTTCTACTTAAAGAATGAAAACTACATTTTTGAAGGAAAATTCTGTGAGTCTAACTATTATATTACAGGAATAGGCTGATGGTTTACTCTTTACCAAAGAAAGACCATAGCCTTGAAAGCCATGTTACAGGTCTGATGAAGTTGCCAATTTCAGCACACCTACATTTCTACGGATAGTCATCTTTTACAATCATACCAACAACCCACATCCAACTACTAAGATTAGATATAAGAAATTTTACAGAGGTCACACATATTTAAGATAGCTAATATTTTGCCCTAGAAGTGATGACTTGAAAATTGTGATTTTTTTTCCAAATAAAATTTAAAGACAAAGTATGCCATAAATCTATTTTAATTAGAAAGATGACTCATAAATTAGGAGGCATAAATATAGTCTTCCCACAAAATGGCAATAATATGGCATAATGCTCTGAAATTTACTAGCTGTAATAAATCTATGATGTTTTGACTGATATATTAAAATTGGCTTTAAAATATAGCATTTAAATGTATTATATATTTGTTTTTAAAAATATTCTTTGTGAAATTGGCGAGTAAACTAAAAATACTTTTTTTTTGTATTGCAGCTTTAAAGTGGCACACTCCATAATAATCTACTTACTAGAAATAGTGGTGCTACCACAAAAGTGTTAACCATCTGTACATTGTTTGGGAGAAAGAAACAGATCAAGAATGCATATTATACAGTGACCGTTTTCCTAGAGTTAAAAATACCTCCTCTTTGTAAGGTTTGTAGGGTTAATGTGAGGTAAATTGAGGTATAAACTATGGATGAACCAAATAATTAGTTCAAAGTGTTGTCATGATTCCGAATTTGTGGAGTCTGGTGTTTTTCCCATAGAATGTGACAGAAGTACAGTCATAGCTCAGTAGCTATATGTATTTGCCTTTATGTTAGAAGAGACTTTCTTGAGTGACATTTTTAAATAGAGGAGGTATTCACTATGTTTTTCTGTATCACAGCAGCATTCCCAGTCCTTAGCCCCTGGACAGAGTGAAATCATGAGTATTTATGAGTTCAATATTGTTCAAATAAGGCTACAGTATTTGCTTTTTTGTGTGAATGTATTGCATATAATGTTCAAGTAGATGATTTTACATTTATGGACATATGAAATGTCTTGATTATTCCATTTTATCAGTCCTGACTGTACAAGATTGTTGCAATTTCAGAAAAGCAGTTTTATAAAATTGATTTATCTTTCAATCTAAAATAATTTCTTAAGCTATTCCTTTCAGCATTGTGTTTTCCACAGGTTTCATTTGTGGGATTCCTTTTGTTGCCCCAAAATTTTTGTCCAAGAAAGAAGAAAAGAAAATAAAGAGCAGTTGAGAAAAAAAGATAAAGACAGAAAAGGAGGTGAAGACAAAGGAAATAGAAGAAAGGAAGAACAGAAAGAGGGAAAAAGAGGAAAGGATGAAAGATAGGAGAAAGGACGAATGAGAGGGAGGCAAGAAGCAGAACATTAGGGTAGTTAGCTTTTTCATTTGCATTCTCGGTTTAAATGCAAGTGGTGTAATGTGTTTTACAATTATCTCATTCAACACGTAAGTCCTGTTACACCATTAAGTTTCTATTATGCAGCAATTATATAATGAAAAGTACTGCCCAAGTTATAGCATTGTGTGATTTTTTTGAGACACTAAGATTTGAGAGAGAGAATTTCAAACATAAAGTCACTTTTGGGGGATTTATAACTTCACTGAAAATTAATGCTTCATCATAACATTTAAGCTATATCTAGAAAGTAGACTGGAGAACTAAGAATATTACCCAGATAATTCAGAACAAAAATATATAGATATATATATATATATAAATACCCCTATGTGTGAAGTCAGAAAACTCTGAAAAGCTGAATTATCAAAGCCAATCATCTATATTGATCAAATTACTGATAAATTGTTAATTTATCCATTGTATTTAGCTTTGTGACACAGCCAAAAGTTACCTATTTAATCTTTTCAATAAAAGTTGTTTTTTGAAATCCAGAAATGATTTAAAAAGAGGTCAGGTTTTTAACTATTTATTGAAGTATGTGGATGTACAGTATTTCAATAGATATGAATATGAATAAATGGTATGCCTTAAGATTCTTTGAATATGTATTTACTTTAAAGACTGGAAAAAAATCTCTTCCTGTCTTTTAGTAAAACATCCATATTTCATAATCTGATGTAAAATGTTGTACTGTTTCCAATAGGTGAATATAAAGTCAGTTTATCAATTAAATATGTATTTGACTCATTTAAAAACTATTAGTTTAAGAGAAAAAAATGGAAGAAATAATAATTTAAACATGCTTCTCCTAGTCCCTCCTTCATTCTCTGTTTCATTCATTGTATCATATTCACATCCTTCAAAGCAATACTGGTTGAAAAGTTTTGATGCTACAATTTCAAACACCTCCACATGGTTTTTCTCTGTTGCTGATTCCCAAGAGGTTTAACAAATTTCATTACATCTAGCTTAGAAATATTTTTTCTGGAGATATTTTAATATCAGTTACTTAGAACTTTTACTTGTTGAAATGCAGCAGTCAGCTATAGAAACTAATGATCAAATCCTGACAGTCTTACAGCTTAAGCAAATGAAAACCCCAATGCTTATAGAAGCCAAAGTGTAATTTCTTAAGAGGGCTGAGTATAAAATAACAGTCAGAGTGAGCATAGGCTTCCTTCAAGGAATTTAGATAGAATTTCTTTGAAAACATCTTTCCTTCCAAACAAAACATGTGATTTGACTGAGCACCCTTAATGTGTGAATACTATAATATACAAATGGGAGTTCATTCCAAATGAACAATTTAAGCCTTCTTTCCCAGATCTGTCCATTTATAATAATTAACCAAAAAAAAAAAAATGGGAACAATGTGGTTGATGAAACAATGCACCAAATCATGAAAAGATCCATGCTTGGTTTACTAAGCTCTTTTGAAATATGGGTGTTATTGCTATTCTGGGAAAACCATATACACCAAAGCCTTCCCCCTACAAACAGTGAACATATATCTAATATGTTTAATTTTCCTACTGCCTCATTATTCCTTGCCTTTTCAACTTTTGTCATGAACTTAATTACATAATAGAAACAGAAACACCAAGTAGCAGATCTAGAAAGCTAGCACATGAAGCTGAGCTAGTTTTTAGGGTTTTTTTTTGGGGGGGGATATAATAGATCAAAACACAAACACTTCAAAACCGCATACAGGTATTCAGAGAACAATTATTCACTTTAGCCTATCAGGAAGAAATGTAAAAAAGATTTTAAAGAGAAAATTTTCCCAAGAATGATTCATTCAAGATAAGGGAATTTGAGCCAGTCCTGGTTGTGCATACCTATAATCCCAGGGACTCTGGAGGCTGAGGCCAGAGGATGGCAGATTCAACTTGGTGAGACCTTAGCAATTCAACAAGACACTGTTTCAAAATAAATAAAGAAAAAGGACTGGGAATGTAGCTCAGGGGTAAAGCACCCCTAGGTGTAATCTTCAATGCCACAAAAGTGGGGGAGGGGATTTGATCCAAGCACCACAGAGTCTTTATACTCCCTCTGAATTTCCCAAGCACAAGCCTTCATAATCACATGCACTTATATCAAATGATTTCAAGCTTAGAGAAAATATTTAGAAATTGATATCTTTTTTTTTGTTTGTTTGTTTTTCTTTTTTTTTTAATTTTTTTTATTGGTTGTTCAAAACATTATAAAGCTCTTGACATATCATATTTCATACATTAGATTCAAGTTGGTTATGAACTCCCAATTTTACCCCAAATACAGATTGCAGAATCACATCGGTTACACATCCACATTTTTACATAATGCCCTATTAGTAACTGTTGTATTCTGCTACCTTTCCTATCCTCTACCATCCCCCCTCCCTCCCCTCCCATCTTCTCTCTCTACCCCATCCACTGTAATTCATATCTCTAAACCAGCAAGCAAATCCAATAAATACTTCCCAGACTTCCTGGAGAGAAAGAAAGAGAAATCATTTCACCCTGTTCCCTAGAAGCTTCACCCACAGTAATCCTAAGGCTACATCAAATTTCCCACAGCCTTAGGTCCAAAAGATGTGCCATCCTAAGAGAAAGATGGGCAGCTGGAGTTACCGTGAGGGATCACAGCTCTTGCACTTTGCATTTTATAATGGTAAAGCACTTTGGCAGACATTGCTGCTTTGGCTCCTACAATACTTCAAAATAACTCTAAGTAGAAAATACTATTGTCACACATTGATGATGAAAATGAGATTCAGAAATTTTAATCACTTGCTGGAGATTACACTTTTACTAAGCGGAGTATTTGAGCCAAATATTTGAGCCAATGCAAAAATTCTACTGGCTGATTTCTACCACCATTAGCCATCCTGAGAATAGGAAAAGAATGTGATGGCATTGCTACTCCACAACTCTATGTATGTTTATATTTGGAAGATGGAATTGGAACATGGAAGCACAACAGGTTTTATTTCTACAAGATTAATAATTGTTAATTTCCAAAGAAAAATCTTGTAGAATATGAATATTATAAAATACATATAGAGGTTAAGGCTTCACTCTCTTCATTGGAATATATAGTAAATCAGATATGGGTAAAACTCAAGGCATGATTCATTCTAAGGCAAATTACTCTCCAGCTGTGAATCTGTGAAATCAAATAAGTTATGACCTTCCATATTCTAATGACTCCAAAGGGTATGAGGTTTAAAAGCAAATCAGATTGTACATCTCATCTAAAACTTTTGGAGTGTGGAATATACTATGCCATTGGCTTCAGACACAAAGTGCTTGTTGTATTAGGACCATCACACAAAATGGAGGATCTTGTCATAATCACATGTAACTTTTTATATAACATTTTGCAAAAGACCTGCCAGGTTTTGGATAATCCATTAAGACTATTCCTCAGACAACTGCCATCAACAGAATTGTTGGGGAAATATAACTCAGAATACACATACCTCTTTTTCTGAGTCCCTAATAGACTACTGGTTTTTAATCTTAATCATGCTGCCAATTTATATAAAAACACTAATTATGTGTACATCTGTGTAGAGGCAGTCAAACCAGAGGGCAGTCCAAATTCTAGAAACTAAATTATTTGCAACCTAAGAAACATATTTGTATTTTTTGTCAAAATATAACTATATTGCAAATCCTATGACCATCACCTGTTGGTCCGAAGAATGTGGGAAATATTACATTTATATACTTATAAAATGGGCACATTAATTTGCTAATGAAAGAACTATGTAAGATGTTACAAACCAGGATAATTTAAGAGCACATGCTTCTATAGATCAAGAATAATGAAATTAATATGCTAAAAGAGGCAAAATTGTCTTCTTCCAGAATAAAGAATTCAATTGAAACTTTGCCCAAAAGAATTAATTTCCATGTCTACAGAGAAGAAATATTTTGTTTTAGTGTCACTTATCTACAATTTGGAAAGAAGTAACATGCAATTGAAAATGCAGACCCCCTTAAAATCAGAACCAGATAACCTGAAATGGTGGCTCTACATAATGCACATTTCTTAATTGTAGCAGAAATTTTTCCTGGGACTGAGGATGTAGCTCAAGGGGTAGAGTGTTTGCATAGGGTTCAATCTTCAGTACAGAAAAAAAAAAAAGATCCTCTAAAAGGATATGTGAAAATTTTGGAGGCAGTTAGATTGACCAAATTGCTATGATTTTGAGCCTCCTTAATATAATATCTACTTTAATGAAGAAAGTTCCCAATGTATCTATATATCTAATATCACATATTCTTTCTCTTCTAATTACTCATTGTTCCCCCTCACAAACAATCACTTCATAGTCTGGGTCATGTAGAAGAAGTGAATCATTATAATAAATATCTCACTTCAAGAAGATAACCTGTTGAAAAACTAATGTATTTTGGACACTTATTACATGACGTAAATTCGGAGTATAACAGGCATTTTGCATCAACAAAAAGAAAAATGAAATAATGATTGAGATAGCAACATTTTATCAACCAAATACAATGGCAATGGTCAGAACTTTGCAAAAAGCCATAGCAAGAGCTGAGTAGTCTACTTCCACTTAATGCTAATGAGCCCGGTCCCAGTGCAAATTTTGGTTTGGTAGGAACTACAGGAGGTGGCATGGTTCATTAGGCTTTCAAAGCTTTAAAATGCTAAAGGGGGTGGTTTTCCTTCTTCACTTCAAGTGGATTCTAAAAGCATTGGAATGTTCCTTGGTGGAACTTTGAATTTGCTAGTTTCTTCATTAAATTTGACCTTTTTATATTAAAAAAAAAGTTCACTTTAAACTAAACCACAGCTGACTTATACCTCCTGCAGTTCTGAATTGTGTTTTTAAACAAGTACTCCAAGCACCTGGAATTTCCTGAGAAAATCTGGGGTACATGTATTTTAAAAACGACTTATAAAATATTCCTTGAAGCCTATAATATATTAACAATAAAGAAAAAAAATGTTTCTTGATTGTTCATAAACACCGAATAGTACCTATTGAACTCCTGCATAGTTTTTAAGTAGTTTCATAAATATGGATGGGAATTGCCCGGGAACTTGACATCCCCCTACCACACATTTGACAAGTGACCTGGCAAAAATGTGGTCAACAGCTCATTTTTGACATACTCCTTAAAAAATTGTTGCCAGAGATTTGAAACCGCTTCAAGCTGATATCTTTTTTGAAACAAAACACATACTCAGACACAAACACAGAATTGCATTGCTATCAGTGATCTGGAAAATAAGCTTGCAAGCTGTCCATGTGGTATTCTGGATAATTTAAAGAAAAAAAAAAAGGAGAAGAAGTGACAACAGTACAACCACAGTTTCTGTTTAAGTTTCATTTGCAAGATTTTAGCATAAGGAACATCTTGTGATTTAATTAATCAGCAAATGGCACCTGCTTTAAATACTAACATGGTGAAAAGCAGACTTTTTAAAAATTTTGGAATAAAATTTGTCTCTGGAAATATGTCCTTCCTGTTGGTAGACAACTATTTATGTTTTGAGAGTCTTACTGTCTAATACCGTTAAATGTTGACAGGAATGAAGACTGGTTTGGTTTCCTTTTTAAACGTGGTATAAGCTTTTTTTTTTTTTTCTGGAAATACATATTTCCAATTCTTGAATATACAAAGTAGTATGTGTGCTCAAAAATTCTCATCTTCTCACAATTCAGTTTTTACAATGCATTAACCAATCTTTATGGTTTGTGTATGACACAT